CGGAAATGCTTTGGTAAATCTTTATAATATTTTCTTTTGGGAAAAAATTTCGCAACACTTTTCTTTAAAAGGTTACTCTTATTTCAAAATAAACCATAAACAAATTGGTCTTTTCCGGGTATGAAATTAGGGATGTCACAATTGGTATCAAAGCATTACTTTAAGCGAACTAGGAATTTGTAGGATTTCTAGACTTAACTTAGAATGTTGAGTGATGATCGTGAGATGAGTGTCTACCATATTTTAGACACGAGTAGTAGTTTATTTTTGGAAAGATGCCTTTAAATGATTTTATGTGCTAAACTTTATGTTTTTCATATATGCTATTACTTGTTCGGATCTATGGTCTGTTTCCGACTAGATCTAGAAACCTTATGTGTTTAGGATTTTAAGTGTACGACTACGATACTAGAACTAGTATGTAATTTTCTTAGTGATAAGGAGGATTAAAACGTCTATCATCAATAAATATCTAAATTCACCTACTTGGGTGTATAGATCAACATGGTGGGAACCCAAAGTGGAGCTGGAAACACGAATGAAAACAAGAATCAGTGGCCATGATTGAGAAGGTATCATTAGTAGAAGTTGCAGCTGAGCCTGTCACGATAGCTGGAGTGCAAGCCATGATCCGAGATATGTGGTCGAACAGAGGGAAGAAATGAGGCAACCATTGTTGAATAATAAGGATGAACCTTAGATGCCTGTTGAACAACCAGAACTAAATGACGGACAGTCAGAGGAAGGGAATTACATCAGCATTGTTAGTCAAGTGGGACCCCCAGTGGTAGAAAGGAATGCCCCGGAGAGGCGAATAAACAGAGATGGACGTATGTATAAGAACTTATTGGATGCCAAACCACCAAGTCTTTCCGAAAGCCCAAAGCCAGTAGAGATTATGGACTGGATCTCCGAAATGAAGATGGTATTTGAAAGCTGCAACTGTAGCAACAAGCAAAAAAACTGTCTTTGCAGTCAGATAACTGAAGAACGAAGTTTTAAGCTCTGAAGATGTCTTGGGAAGCATTCATCGAGCAGTTGAAAATGCAGTACTATTCCTAAATTTATCTGATAGATCTAAAAAATGAGTTCCAAAACTTGAAGAAGAGGAGAATGAGCATTGATGACTATGCTACTGCATTCACCAAGAAGATGAAGTTATTTCCATAACTAGTGCCAGCTGAACTTGCCAAGATACATAAATTTGCTAACAGATTACCATCAGACTTTAACCCAACAGTCAAAACGAAATTCACGTTGAAGGCAGCTCTTAGAGCAGCTAAGAATGTTGAGACCCAGTTAAGAGAAAAGGGTCTGGAGAGAACTGAGGTCGTGAGAAAAGAAAGTTTGATGGATCTTCGAGGTCCAACAAGAAAAGTAAATTCTCGAAGTTTGATTCCAAGAAACTCAAAGGAGGAGGAGGAGGTGAAGTGAAGTGGTGCAAAAAGTGCAATAAGAAGCACCACAGGAAATGCAACGGAGAGGTAACCTATTTTAAGTGTGGGAAGTCTGGACACTACGCCAATGATTTGTACATATAGAAAGAGCGTATGTTATGAATGCAATGCAGGAGGACATATTTCAAAGAACTGCCCCAAGGAAGAATGAAGCAGCAAGGCCAAATGCACCGCTCAAGCCAAGGGGATTCCAAATGATCATTGACGAAGCAACTGGCAATGCAAGGACTTAGGAGTGAGGACTAATATCTGAAGATCAAGTTATGAAGTGGCCATGTGGGTAGCATCACGTGATATACCTTATTAGACGCATAATATAGGATGAATTTGAACATCTATGTAATCATTACAAGAAATAATATAAAACCTTGATTTTGTTATCTGATGTGTTAAAGGATTATGTGAAATTCTTGAATGATGAATTACAAAACTGCGCGACAATACTTGGAACGAGTATAAGTAAGTGTGAATGGTAGTAGAGGCCTATACTACCAGAAGCATAGGACTCGCACTTGGATTAGGGAAAGTCGCCAGGTTATCAAGAAGCTAGTAATTGATTTTGTTTTGTTCATGTCTATCGTTACCATCGTTTTAGTAATGACTAATAAGATGATTTTTATGCCGACCCTAGTGGTCACATAAAATTAAGTCTGACTAAGATGAGTATGTCACGTAGTTCAGAGAACCAAGTTTGATGTAACATCTGACTGAAGAAAAAAGATTGAAGTGAAATATAATCAAATCAATCAATAGAAGTTGTCTCAATGATTGTGGAAAGCATCAAGAAAGCGTAGAAGGAAGTCTTAGAGAAGAATGAGTGAAAGGATGAATTTTTAGGCAAAACATTGGAATTTAGTACGAATAATCAATGATTGAAGGTATTGCAAGATTGGATTTGGGTGCCCAAGATTGGCGAAGTAAGAGACTTTTTGATGGAACAAGCTCACAAAACCATGTACTCGATTCATCCTGGCAGCACTAAAATGTGTAAGGATCTGAAACCCTACTACTGGTGGACAACGATGAAGCTCGATATTGCAAAGTATATGGCAGAGTGGGTAACATGTGTGAGAGTTAAGGCACAACACCAGAGACCGTATGGGTGTTTAGAACCTTTACCTATACGCATGGGTACATGGGAAGATATTACTATTCATTTTCTGACTAAATTGCACAAGAAGAAGAACAGTCACAGCTTGATTTTGGTAGTCGTTGAACCTTTCACTAATAGTAGACACTTTATAGTAGCCAATGAGAGATGGTCGATGGATAATCTTGCAAATGCTTAAGTGAAGAAAGTTGTAAGACTTCACGGTATTCCTCTAACGATTGTACCTGAGCGTGATAGTCATTTCACGTCAAGGTTTTGGAGGAGTTTATAAGAGGAAATGAGCATGAAGTTGTGTTTAAGTACAAATTATCGTCCACGGTCTGATGATCAGAGCGAAAGAACGATTGAAACACTGGAAGATATTCTAAGAGCATGTACCCTAGAGTTCTAAGGTAACTGAGATGAGTACGTACCCCTGGTAGAGTTTTCCTACAATAATAATTTCCACTCGAGCATCAAGATGGCACCTTATCAAGATTTGTACAGACAAAAATTTCGTACGCTGTCATATTGGCTTGATGCTAGAGAAAAGCAGTTTATAGGCCCTAAGATGTCCATTAGACTGCAGAAAAGCTAAAAGTGATTAAGGAAAGGATGTTAGGTGTTGTTTGTTTTTCTGAAGTGAAACTGTCTGAAGTCTGCGGACCACCTCTGCGGCCCTCTGCAGCAGAAGAGGTGGACCAAAGTGCTGCAGACTGTAATGAGAAGCATGTTTGTTTTTTTAACATCTGCAGACTGCTGCAGATACTAAAAAATTTAAAATAAAGTAATTTAATAAACCGAAGATAGTTTTTTAATACAAAAAATTTAAAAATAGTAGTTTTAAAACATTGAAATAAAATTCAAACAACCAAATTAGTCTTATAATAACATTTTTAAATAAAATTCATAGAACCAAACTTTAATAATTTTCATTCCATATTTTGCATCAATTGCTCGGCAATTTCATCCCGTAACTGGGTCATATATTCACGGTCCGCTGCAGTACCATGTGTTGGAATCTCATCTTCATCATTATCAACGACTGCATTGTTATTCTGAATCGAGACATTTGGTTCATCATGTCGTGCAAAAAACTCATCACGTAGTCCCTCTCTTCTTATAAAATTATGAAGCGCAAAACATGCTAGGGTTATGTTTCGTTGTGTAACCAACGAGAATGGTGCCATCCTCTTCAATATAGGGAATCGTGCTTTCAAGACACCAAAAGCCCGCTCAATGACATTCCGAAGTTTTGCATGTGCATGGTTAAATTTTTCTTTATTCGTTAATGCACGTCTTCGACGGAAATCTCCAAGCCAATACCTTACATTACGGTACGGTGCCATAAAACCTCGATTGTTTGCATAGGCGGCATCACAAAGATAATATTTATCTGTAAAAAAGCAAAAAAAAGTCATTTATTTTTCAAGCTAAGATAAAACTATTTAAATAACCATAAATTTACCTAGTGGTGGGACCCGGGAATGGTGCATGTGGATTTGCTAATGCTTCTGATAAAATTCTAGAATCGTGTGCTATCCCTTCCCAACCGGCCACAACAAACGTAAACATCATGTTGAAGTCACATATTGCCAATACGTTTTGGTAACAATCGCCTTTTCCCCTACTTCTATATAAATCATGTTTGTTTGCAGGGACAACAGCATGTATCAAAGTGCCATCAAGTGCACCAACTGCTCCCTTGAACACCCGTCGTAGCCTCCTATTATGTCCCGGAATATTTGGATTCGGATTAAAAGAAGTTGGCACTATAATGTCATGTGCGAAAAGAAACATTTTGTCCAACACTTCATGAAAAAACTTATGAATTGTTTGCTTTGAGTGTTGAAATCTCCGCTTGATAATCACATAATGTTGGTTATGGCCAATCATCATCAAAAACATAGCCATCTTCTCCTCAACCGACACATGTTTGCTATCCTTTAACGCGTAGTGTACTCTAAAATGAGCACATAGCCGAACAAATGATTCACGGGACATACATAGCACTTCAAGACATTGTAGAGGATTACGGTGAAGTAACTCTAACGTAAATTCATGTCCCGTCATTTCTGAATCGTTGTCCCGCACTCGTTTGACACCTCTCTTCCAAAAGTAGCGGACGTACAAGTACATAAGAATTATGAGTAATATCTTTTTGTCGTGATCCATTACAAACCTATTAATCAACAAAACATAACATAACATAAGATAAAAACATAACATAAATCTCAAGTACAAAAAAATATAAAATAAATTTCAAGTGCCAAAAAACATAACATAAATTTCAAGTACCAAAAAACATAACATAAATTTCAAGTACCAAATAACATAACATAAATCTCAAGTACCAAATACTAAAAATAACATTCAAGTAGAAATAACCAAAACACATAACCATATAGTTCCAAAACATGCAATTAAAACCTAAACAACTCAAACATATAAAGTTAACAAACGATCTTTCCATCCTTTAAAACTCCCAAACTTGTAGCTGTCATCTCGATCCATCCTCTTAATATTCGTGGATCATTAGGCAAATTTACCCACATCTCTCTCATATTCATGGTCCCTCCAAAAATGTGATACGCAGCAAATCGTAGAGGGTCTATTGGGTCTAACTCGAGCAACTCAAGTTTCTCTAAACATTGGGGAATTGTTGGCCCTTGAGTCAAATGACGTAGAGCTTTTTGCATCTCCAATGCTAAATCATCAGCAGTAATAGAAGCTTTAGGCGAGGCAGAAGAAGGTGGATCAGGTGAGGCACTAGGAGCTCTAGGTCTAGGAGTTGAGGGTTTGGCCCTTTTGTTGGGGTTACCAGAAGGTGAAGCAGCAGAAGGTGAAGGCTGAGTAAAATGCTCACTAGTATGATTGGAAAAGAAATCATCCTCATCTATGTTAATAGAAGGGGCGTCCATAAGATGTAGTGGTGCGACATGGAAAGAAGATGATCCATGTCCCGATGGTGTTTGGGATGTGGCATAACTGAGATTACCAGATGCACTGTTTCCATCAAAAAGTTCTGCACAAAGCTCTGGAAACAATAATGGGACAGTTTTCAAAGAAGCGGCTTTCGGATGTCCCTAAACGCAATCAATGTAACAAAAGTAATATAAGAATTGGCAACTATATAAACAAAATACATATAAATATGTGTGTGTATATATACCTTTTTAAAGTCCTCCCACTCCTCATTTGTTAAATTAAAAGTATTTGTTTGGGGATTGTAAAGGTTTCCAGTTTTATTTTTTAAGTATAACCATCCTGTGTATTTGGCTTTAAGGTTATCATAGGCGTTTTTTAATTGTCGTTGACTCAAATCCATGCCATACTTTTCCTTAATGGTTGTTCCTAACTTGTACCATGATTGTTTGTGCAAACTCAAACCTTTTCTACCCACAGTTTGTACTTCTTCAATACAAGTGAGCAATAAGCATTTTGTTTGCTCATTGGTCCATGTATGTTTATCTCCCATCGCTAATAACAAAAAAAATATAAAATACATACTTTAGCAAAAAAGATTAATCATATTTCAACATAATCAACAAATACGTTTAGCATATTCAACAATTTAAGCACAAACTTGAAAAGAAGCATAAACTTTATCTCCATTCAAGAAATACAAGTGATAACAATTCAACAAATAAGTTTAAAAAAACCATTTGAGCTAATGATTTCAGCATATAAACTAGTATACGAGTTTATGATTTCACAATATAAGTATATGATTTCAGCAAGGATTATGATTTTACCCAACATTCATAACAATTCAATACAAAAATTCATGAACCTAAACATAAATCTTGGCTCTAGTTAAAGAACAAAACACAAACTCCTAGAATTATAACAAAGCACTAAAGCAGAATTTTAACTCAATGTATGCTTGCAATATCTCTAACTGCTAGAATTATAACAAAACACAAACTTCTCTCTATGGTGGATCTGTTAAAAGAAAGCCAATTATGCCCTTATGAAACCATTAAAATCATGAGATTATCATCTTATTTCACAGCTTCAAAACTTATTTCACAGCTTCTTTCTTCAATCTTATTTCACAACTTCAATTTTATTTCACACTTTCAAAGTCAATTAAGAAATCTGGACAAAAAAATAAAAAAAAACAAACCTGTGTGATGTGATGTTGAAGACGAAGGCAGATGGAGGATGGGGCAGTGAAATCGGCGACCACCAGCAGCAGTAGGCGGCGAGCAGCAGTAGTGAGCGGCAAGCAGCAGCAGCGACCGGTGAGCAGCAGCGAGCGGTGACCGGCAGCGATTTCTTCCGGTCTTCAACAGATTCGACGCCAAGAGAGAACGAACGAGTTGCGGCTGTGCTTTTGTCCATGTCTTTTTTTTGTTATTAGGTTTAGAAGTGCTGAGAAGAGGCAAGCCCAATGCTGCATGGGGAAGAGGACGGGAAGAGGTTTTTGAGCCCGAAGCCTTCTAAAAATCAAACTGCTGCGAATTTAAAAGTGTTGCGCGTGTGCTACGCCGCGCAGCACTAAGAGGTTAGAAGAGGATTTTTTTTTTTAAAAAACACAACCTTAGCAACTCAATATTGTCAAAAGAGCTATACCGAAAAGAAAAGACGACTAATGACATTTGAATTTGGGGATTCAGTTTTGCTTAAAGTCTCAACATGTAAGGGACTTATAAGATTCGGGAAAAAGGAAAGTTGACTCCAAAATTCATTAGACCATTCAAAGTTCTTCTGAGGATTGGGAACCAAGCCTACAAGTTATAACTACTAGAGAAACTAGATGGTATTCATAACACTATCCATGTGTATTATTTGAGGAAATTCATGGGAGAAGTTCCCAACATAATTCCAATTTCTGAGTTAAGGATGGATGAAAATAAGAGGCTAATTGAAGAATAGGAGGCAATTGTTGATTGTAAGACGAAAAAGTTGCAGTGCAAGATGGTCAACTTAGTGCTTGTGCGATGGAAACATTCGAATGCGCCAAACCTCACCTAAGAAATGGAGAGTGACATAATGAGACACTATCCGCATTTGTTTACTGATGCATGATTCCAAGACGGAATCATGCTACGGGGGAGAGAATTGTAACACCCGTGTTTCGAGGCTAAGCATTGATGCGATGATTTAATAGTTAGGGTCAACAAATGTTACTTAATTCGATGTAATAAAAAGAGTATTATGTGAATTATGGGAATTTATGTTCTTTATAGTTGTTTATAACGATATAATAAATCAAGAATGAAAATAAGCATCAAAAATAAAATGTTAGATAAACCCAATATCTATGAAAAAAGTTGTAGAGGTCTTCACAAGGATTCTTGAGATATAAACAATGCCAAGATACGAGTTATAACGAATAAGTTTTGACCTATCGAAGTTTCGCGACAGAACTAGCACGACACTTTGTAACGTAAAAAGTGAGTTTAATATAAAGTGAGTTTTAGCATTAACGATCTAAAAGAAAGTCGTAGTGTTCATTAATCCGAGAGTCTGCAAAAAAAGAAATCCCAAATCTAACATCGTATGAAGAAGTTATGATTTTTCTAAGTTTCAGAATGGCAGTATGTAGGCCGGAGTTCGAATAGTATATCGAATAGTTTTTGGCAGACACAACCTAAATGAGAATCAAAGGTCTCATTAATAGTAGTTCAACAGTAAAAAGATAGATGAAAACAGATGTCAGATGAAGGAGTTATGAATTTTTAATGGACTTTCCTATCCCGGCTTGTTAAAAATACAACTTTAAAAATAGATTCAAAATTAGCCGAAGGAGTCTAAACGAAAGTTATAGAGTACAGTCCCACGTACGCGTGTATATAAAGAACTTCAAAAAAATGATCTCATATGCAAAAGTTATGTATTTTAGAAGTCAATATGAGAAAATGTGAGCTGATGCGAGGAGTACGCCCAACATACCTTCGGACGCCTCATACCGAAGTACGCCCCGCGTACGAAGATAGGTACGCTGCACGATTTAAATCTCTTGCAGATTGAAATGAGCCACGAAACCCCAGTCGACGACCGAGACGTGTCCACTACACCCCGCGGACTCTAAAGAGTACACCCAACGTACCCAACGTACCGAGGACTTCAGCGCCTATAAAAGGTTGCGATGTGCAAACGATTTTCTCATACTTTTAAGCCACACTTTCTCGCTCTACTCTCTCACTAGCCTCCCTAAACCACCTCGAAGCCTAGGAAACCTCCCTAGTACTAGAAGAAACCCCGGAGCATCCAAAGGCTCCGAGAAAAACAGTTTTTTGGTATAGAAGCTCTTCCTCCGCAGAGACCGGTTTTCAAGCAAACCTCCCGGTTTCGTCAAAGGAAATTATTTTAAGAAGCGAAGTGTTTTTCCAAATTACCACATTATGAAGTGATTGTATAGTCACTTTCTTCTTACACATAGATATGAAATATTTTATATAAATTACGTATGATATGTATGTATGTATATATATATATATATATATATATATATATATATATATATATATATATATATATATATATATATATGTTTACCTAAGATGCATGTTGGATGAAATATATATACTTCATTCATTTTTGATTTGAACTTTTTCTTTTAGATCTAAATTATATATATATATATATATATATATATATATATATATAATACTTTGAAATATATGTTGTATGAAAGATTTAAACTTCGTTTTTCATATCTGAACTGTATATGTATTTTATATATCTACAAATATGGTGGCTAAAACATGGGTAAATGAAATAGTTGGTGCGTGATGAAATAAAATGATGAGAGGCCTCGCTGTTGATGACGATTCAATCATCTAGTGGAGTATGGGTGACAACCACGGACTAATCTAGCAAGTCCAGTTGAATGCTAGCAGGCTCAGAACATATAGGTGTTTATTTGAACTATGTTTTCACCAGGTGTACTCCATCCCCCTCATAGTTGCCTTATTTGACATAAACTACTGAAGTATCCCCTAGGCAATGTTGTTACCCTGATGATAATCCTTAGGCTAGGTCCCTTATATTAGATGTTTCAGGGACGTAATGTGAGGATAACGGGAACAGGTAATCAGGTTTGTTTGGTTTGATGAAATTAATAAACTTATTGATTATGGGTTGAAAACCCTATGTGCACACCAGGGTCTCAAGCCAAACCCACTCAGTTTCTTGTATTATAGGTAGTGGAAAGAGCATAGTTGGATGATCTGATGAGAGATTATGGATTATAGGCCAATAGAAAATAAATAGAATGTTGTAAGGCCTATATTGTTTTAGGCCAATTTTTTTGTGGCCTATGATGTTTTGTCTATGCCTTTGATCTGCATTGACAATGACATCCCGAAGTAATTATGGTAATGAAAATAGGTTTTTTCGGAAATGCTTTGATAAAACTTTATTATATTTTCTTTTGGGAACAAATTCCACAACACTTTTCTTTAAAATGTTACTCTGATTTGAAAATAAAGCACAAGCAAATCCATCTTTTCTGGCCGTGAAATTGGGGATTTCACAATCAACATTACAGGTCATCAACAAAGGATCATTGAAGCGTATACAATACAAAATATCAGATTCATAAGATTCAATATAGGTGACTTGGTCCTTAGGAAATCATTCCAAAATACTAAGCATCCTAATGCAAGAAAGTTGGTACCCAAATGGGAAGGGCCATATCTTATTGATTTAGAAGCAGGGAAGGGGGCATATTGTTAGGCTACCCTAGAAGGAGACATCTTGCCAAGATCTTGGAAAGACATCCACCAAAAAGTGTATTTCATGTCAGTTAAATCTTACATTTTCCAACATATTCGAGGTACACATTCTTTAACCATTACTTTTGTCTAAATTATTTTATTTATTTTTTCTAAATATACCATTAATAACTAAATAATTATAGGGGTATTAGCTAGGCTAACGTCCACACTAAGCTAATATTTGCATTTAATGTAATTAAGGAGCCTGCCCACTACAAATAGAGACTGATCATCGCTCATGTGAGTATGAGTACTTAATCCCCTCTATGGTTTAAAGAGTTAATAACCTCTTTCTCACCAGTTTAGCTTTCTGCACCTCACTTGGATGCATGATATCTTACTATGGGATGTGAGTAAGGGTATCAATTCATGCTTTAGTTACTTGGCTACCCTCTTATTTATGAACATATGTTAAGATCCTAACATTTAATCTATGGTTTATAACATTGTCATGTTATCTTAAGTTGGGATATTCCCTAGTTATTTCTAAGGTGGATCTTCCCTAGTGAATTTCTTATGTTGGTATCTTCCCCACTTATTTTCTAGGATAGGATTTTCCCCAGAATTTCTTAAGTTGGGATCTTCCCCAGAATTTATTTAGTTGGGATCTTCCGTAGTTAATTTTCTATATTTTTCCCCATTATTTCTTATGGTTGGATTTTTTCCCTAGCAGAAGTTAAATAAGGACTTTCCTTAGCAAATTCCTAAATTGGATTATCTTTAGAGGGATCCTTTTCAATACAGTCTCGAAGATCATAGGGAACTAAAGGACTTACAACATAAAATTTATCCTAATCCAAAAGACCTCAAAAGGTCAAAACTAAACCTAAAGATCATTAGGTTCTATATATCCTTGTTTATTGAAAAATATTTTACTACATTATAACTACAGTTTTGTCTCTTTAAGGATCCTAATTTTTTTTAAAATCCCAAGCAGAAGACTAAACATCTCAATTTATTAAGATCCCAAGAGTTCTTATAAAACCTGAACGCTTTAGGATCCTAATAATCTAGGTATCCGCAGAAGTCCTACTACTATAACCATATAAATCATGTCAAACATTCAAGAAGATATAACCAACCATGGCACCAATTAAAAGGGGTTTCCCACAAAATATTTAATTTGTTTTTAAAAAAAAAATCTAAACTACAACATGATTGTCATCATCTGGAACCTTCTCTGATTCATTCTCCTTTCCTCCCTTCCTTAGCTGTCGTGCAGGATCCTGGATGGTGTTAACAGGCTCACCAGTTAATTTGGCTAGGGCTTCACGCCAGCCGTCAACATTCCAGGATGCCATATTAGTCACATCTTCTATAAGTTTGATCTTAGCTTACCAAACAGCCACAACAACTCTACCCTCCATCTCAACAGTCACCTCTGCAATCTGTATAACATGCTCCTCCTCTTTCTCATCTTGGTATTTGCTTAGAAGTTCCACCCTCATTAGGAGATCCTTGTTGGTGTCCTACAATACCCTCTCCTACTCCTTTAAGGCTAACTCAACCTTCTTAGCCCTGACCTTCAGGTCAGCAGTGAACTAAGAAACGTGGTCGAAGACACGAAATGAGAGAAAAATTAATAAAAGAGAGATTAGAAAAACAAAGACCATAATT